CATCCTCCCCCGCCGGTCGCCCCCCCGCACCGGCCCTCCTCCACCGAGAGATACTCCTCCCTCCCTCCTCCTCCCTAATTATTTTGAATCCTAGTTAAAAAATGTAGGTTCTTAGAATAATGTAGGTGTTTTAGTTGAATTTGTAGGTGTTTTAGTTAAATTTGTAGGTGTTTTAGTTAAAAATGTAGGTTTTTAGAATAATTTAGGTTATGCATGATCGAACCTTGCTTGGACAGATTAGGTATGAACCCTAGTTAATTCGTATGAACCCTAGGTTTTTAAATTTAGCTAGGTTTTAAAGTTAGGATAGAAATTTAGCTAGGTTTTAAATTAGGTGTAGTTAATATAATTTAGGTGTTTTAAGTGTATTTAAAAGAGTTTTAGGTGTTTTAGTTGTTTTAGGTGTAGTTAACAGAATTTTATGTGTTTTAGATGTTTTAGGTGTAGTTAACAGAATTCTAGGTATTTTTTAGTTAAAGCAATTGTTGTTATTTTTTTAGTTAAATCAATTTTCCTGTTAATATGCAAATTTGCAGTGGACATGTCATGCATATTTTGAACATGTCACATTTTGGACATGTCATATTTTTCCGAGTGGCCTATGTTTTGCCAGAAATGTCAATTCGTTTACATTCTGACAAATTTCAGGCGCTCGATATGTCCTGTTTTTAGCAAAGGTCATGCCAAATTTTGCTAAGTGTTTATTAATTTTGTTTTCATAATTAAGCATTTTGTTCTTGACGTCGACGATGCCTATCCCGCATCCTCGTCGTCGACTCGGCGGAGGACTCCTGGTTGAGCCGAGGGGCCATGTCCGGGACTGGGCTCCGCCGGGCTGGTACTGGGTTGTGCTACCTTCTGGTGAGCGCAGCTTAGTGAGGAGCCAGCCCGTCGTCGCCGGAGCTTCTTTGGTGGCGGTCACGTGGGCGTGCATCGGTGGAGAGGCTTGAGTCCCCAGCACATGTGGTACAACATTGTGTCATGGAGGAGAACGCGCACGTCCAGCGCTACTTGGTTGCGTTGTCGAACGGCCGGTTCTCCAATACCTGGCAGATTCTTTGGGGATCTCACCGGAGCTATGATCCGGTGATGGTTCCTTCTCTTTGGGTGTCCACCGCGGCCCACTGAACCTAGAGGAGCTATTATTCGAGATGTATTAGTGATATTATATGATGATCTTTGCTACAAACTACTATATATGTATTCGATGCTGGATTATTAATTACCTATTAGTTATTTGCTTATTGAATGCAAAAGATGAGCGTGGTTTGTGCTACAAACTACTATATATGTATTCATGATGGATTATATGATGATCTTTGCTACAAACTACTATAAACTACAAATTTTAGGTGTTTTAGTTGTTATATGATGATCTTTGCTACAAACTACTATATATGTATTCGATGATGGATTATTAATTACCTATTAGGAAATGTCTGACGACGAAAGGGAATTCGCTATGTGCGACTACTGCAAAGATGAGCGCGGTCTGTGCGACATGCCTCACTTGGTAGAAGGTCGGCGCTTCAGCATCAAGCTCCAAGAGACCTTCGATGTTGAAACGGTACGCAACGACGACAAGTGTTTTTTGTTATTTTTTGCACGACTTCTCTGCTTCTTCAATGTGTAATTTCCATCTTTTACAATTCTACTAGCTTATCCCATGCCATGCAAGACGCTATGTCTTGGAGAAGATGGGTTTTGAAGATCATGAAAGAATGGAGACAAAGATAATTCAACTAAGGACCCATCATGGTTATGATTTTGCTGAAAATCTATACAATTCTGTGAACTCATCCAATTTTGGTTGCCTGAATTGGGAAGCCCTTTGCAAGGCATATGATTTTCATGAGGGTATGCTTTTCACCTTCGATCTTGGTGATCCTGACATCGACGAAAATGATATGACCATTTGGGTCCTTGTTGACACGCTTCCAGTTCTACCGCTGTGTGAGTTTCTTAAACATATTTACTAAGTAATTTATATTGTTTATTTCAAAATATTTGACAGTTTATTTCCATTGACAGCTTATTTTCATTCTTCAAAAAATGTACGGAAAATGCTAGAGAGAACCTACTACTACAATGATGAAGCACAATTAACTTATAAGGAGCAAGATGGTCTTATCGCATTTTTTACTGATATTGAGAATTACAATAGCTATTATCAAACTCCTCCACATTATGGTCAATACGTGCCACTAGTGCACGTGTTGAACTACGGTAACATCAATGGAGATATCATGCTAAGATTTTCTACTATTACGACATCCGTGCATCTTTTGCATAAATTCTTCTAAAACTAAACTATATGCTAACTACAAAGTTATTACTATATTTTTGAACAGAAAATCCCGATGGATTGTGTGCCTCATCTGATGTTGACGAGAGGTCACGTTAATGTTATGAGCTTACAGCCACCACGGCCAGGTCAGCTGCAGTATCCACATCACTCCTGTCCATACCAGATTTCTAAAAGCGAGGAAGCCATGATAATAGATGATTTCAAAAAATGTTTGAACCATCGTAGAGAGCTACTTGGAAGCAACATTGTGCGTAGGCCATGGAGACAAGATGATCTCCGTTCTTTATTATGGAGAGTCAATTTTCCTTAATGCAGCGTCAATGCCTATCTTGTTTTATGATACTTTACGTAAGAGAGGGTAGAGTAGGTCCTATGAGAGGAGTAGGTCGTAGCTAGAATGTGTTATTATGTGCTACAATGTGTTAGAGTTGATGATGATGATGAGGAGTTGTGATTATGACTAGTGACCAACTTGTTATATGATGTCTCATTGACGAACATTGTTTGATGGTGATGACAAGTGGTAATGAATATGGTATTTAAACAGACTAGTTCATGATGAGTTATTATTGTATAAAAGATATATCTGTTTAAACATGTACAGTGCCAAAATGCTACAAAAACATAAATGTTAGTAGTAGCGCGGGCCTGAAAATGCACTACTAGTACTTGAACTTACCAGTAGCGCTGGCCTAAAAACGCGCTACTGCTACAAAATAGCTGTAGCGCCGTAGCAATAGCGCTGGTGCCCGCGCTACTGGTAGCTCAAAAACCAGCGCTACTGGTAAGCATTTTCCTAATAGTGTTGTCTAGATTTAGATTGTACTTAAATTCATTCAACCTCCTCATGGTAAGTGGTTTGGTGAAGCCATCAGCAAGTTGATCTCCTGTGGGAATAAACATGATATCAAGTAATTTGCGAGCCACTCTTTCTCTGACAAAATGAAAATCAACTTCTATATGCTTTGTCCGTGCATGGAAAACGGGATTTGCTGAAAGATAGGTTGCACCAATATTGCCACACCATAACCTTGCAGCTTGTGGAACTTTTATTCCTAGTTCACAAAGGAGAGTCTGAATCCACATAATTTCGGCAGTTGCATTTGCTAGAGCTTTATATTTCGCTTCAGTGCTGGATCTAGAGACAGTGGCCTGTTTCCTTGCACTCCATGATATAAGATTTGATCCTAGAAATAAATCAAATCCACCTATGGACCTTCTATCATCAGCACACCTTGCTCAATCAACATTTGAATATGCATCACCAACATGGATGATGACTTAGCAATCTTAATTCCTAGTCCCATTGTGAACTTAAGATACCTCACAATTTTTTAACTCCTGTCCAATGAACTGTACTAGGAGCATGCAAATACTGACATACTTTATTAACAGAATATGAGATATCTGGACGAGTTAGAGTCAAGTACTGTAATGCACCAACAACACTTCTGTAATTTGTTGCATCCTCTGGACCAAGTGCATCTCCTCCCTCAACTGAGAGTTTTTCTGAAGTTGAGAGTGGTGTACTTAAAGGCTTACAGTGTTCCAGTCCCATCCTCTTATAATGTCAGTAGTATATTTTTCCTGTGTCA